GGGCTGAATTGCACAAAACGCATGATCGCACCGGCTAGCCTGGTGCGCGTTGCCATTTATTTTTATGCGTTTCTGGCTGAATTTCACGTAGTTTTTCCTCTCCCTCAATTTGAGGAACAATTTGCAGGCGGTAAAGAAAGGGAGGGTTTTGAAAAAGGAGACACATGACACAAAGGGCGGAAGTTTTTTCAAATTAAAAAATAATTCAGAGGAAAGAGGTTTTTTTTTTTTTTAAATCGTTAGATGTTTGTTCATGAAAAAAAAAATGCTAATATTTATATAAATGGTACTTCGAAAGGCACTTTAACACTTTGCCTATTTTGATGCTTTGATTAGGTGTTGTTTCATCGTCGCGTTTCTTTCCGACATTGATGCAGCTGGCAGCTTCTCCATTCTTCAACGGTTTTGTGTCTCTCTCTCATCCACATAATTCCGTATAGCCGCACTCAAGCGACCCCTCAACAATTGACTCCAGATATGGTAACACAAAAATTGTCCCGGGATGGATTTCATTGCCTTGTATTTTTGGATTCTTGGAATTTTGGTTCAAGATGATTGAAGTAATCAAATGGGGTGATATAAAAACACAAAGTTTCCTTGAGTTTTGCTCTTCTGCTCAAAATTTCCCAACACTTCTATTCGTGCAGGTAGCGGGTGCTATGTCGATGAATATCGAGGAAATGAGTACCACCAAGGTCTGTCATTTCGCCGGCGAACGCCCATTTTCCAAGAACGTGGATGCAATATTCATGGATTGAAGTACCTGGATAAATTAGGTATACTTGATTCTGTTCTAAATTTTGTTGTTTAGATGTATTTATTAGCTAGGACAACGGCAATTACCAATATTTTTGTTGAAAGTTCGATTTTTTTCTTAAATTTCGACTCCGCCAGTGAGGAAAGCAATCTCTGTACGAGACGTTTCATTTGTTTTGATAGAAAATATGCCAAAAGGCCAAACCCGCCATTAGATTGCTTCTAAGTATTCCTCGAAAAAGGGAGCCATCGACAGCCTTGCCAGTGAGTAGTTGCTGTTGGCATTTGTTATCGCTGGGGCTGTTTTCGAGTGTTTTTTCATATTTACACTTCGAATAACTTTTTGATTCACTCTCTGGTTCTTCAACTATAAAACTGCAATTTTTCCGTTTGTTTTGAACAGTGCTTCATTCTCTGCATCTTGGCGTTTTTAAGAAAAAAAAAAAAACAAAAATTTTATAAAGGGCAACTCTGGAAACGCTGTGAGAGTCGAAAAGAAAAAATGTTAATGACAATTTTGTAATAATTTTATTACAATGATTTTTTTTTATAATAATTTTACTAATTTTCTAATTCTCATTTCCTACCTTCCTTTTTGATTCTCCTTCTTATTTCATCCCTTGTTAATATATCTTTCTGCTAAAATAAGCGAAAATTCGATTGGTATA